CATTCTCTTTGGTTTGATAGTTTGTTTTTGAGTGATAGTTTGAGTGATAGTTTGTTTCTGCAAACACGGTGAAAAGGCATATGGGTGTTTGAGGGCTTCGACTCCATACAGTTAATAGTGCTGTTACTAAGAAAAGTCTTGTTAGGGCCTTTATGTCTGGATTCTTCTATTCATCTATCCAGGTCCAGCTCCTCTTCATTCACTTATTGCTTATGCCTCAGTAAACAGCTGTTGCACATTTGCCACATGTCAGGCACTAAGCATTGGTGAGCGAAAGTCAGCGGCTTGGGCTCCATCTGGAAAATATCCTCCAGGTAGTTGGAGGCAACCATGGAGCCCTACAACAGCAGCTCAGCCTAGTAGGAGCTATGGTATAGGTAAGCTTGAGACTCCATAAGACCACAGAGAAAGGCCATCAAAGGTAGCCCAGGAGGGCAATGAAAGGCACTCTGAGCTGACTGAAGAGGAATAGGTTGGCCATTAGTGGGGAAAAGTGGATATGAAAGGAGCAGCAAGAGAGAGGCTAGAGCCAGAAACACAGTGAGACCCAGAAAAGGAAGGGACTTGAAAATGCCAGGTAGTCAATAGTACGAGGCCTCACTTTGGTCAGGGATGTGGCAGGATATATGGCAGTGGTGCTTTAAAACCACTTGGTAGCATGTTATCTTTTATTTATGTGTGCAAAGAAAGTCTATCTCATACAAGAAGAGTGTAGAACAATGGTTAGCAGAAGCCGGGAATGGTTGGGGAGGATGGAGAGATGTTTGATAGCTACTAAGGTGAAGGTGGATAAAAGGAGTAACTTGTAATGTTCTGTAGACTCGGAGGGTCAGTATAATTGAGAACATTGTATATTTCAAAAGAGCTAGTAGAAAAGATATCGAATGTTCCCGTCAGAAAAATGTAATGAATTTTTGAACTGATGAATATGTTGGTTACTCTGATATGATCTTCGCATGTTGTATACATTTATTGGTGTCATACCCTACTTTGTAAGTATGTACAATTATTGTGTCAATTTTTAAAATTAAAACAATATATATATATTTTAAACCTCCCCTTGTTCCCGTGGGTCAGAGGTGGGTAGAACTGGCAGCAGGCAGAACTGTGTGAGCTTCTGAGTCCTGCAGGTGGGCTGTGATGGAACCAAGGCACTAGCAGGAATGGAGGGAAGGGATGGATCCGTGTGCACTGGGGAGGTGAAGCGTACACGTCAGGGAGCCTGATTGGACTTGTAGGGTGAGAGAAGTAAGAAATGTGGCATCTGGAACTGGGTGGAATGGAGTATCGTTGCCTAAAATAGGAATACTGCGGACAGATTTGGTGGGACAGGATCATCAATTTGAATATTACTAAATATGCAAACCTAGTGAATATCCATGTGGAATAGCGGTTAGCTACTCCAGGATGGAGCACAATGGAGATGTCCGGTAAGAAAGGTTGTCTGAAATCATCAGTACTTGTGATGTTGAAGCAACTTACTCATTCAGTAAATACCAGAGGCGTACTAGCAGGCCCAGCTGCGTGGACATGTGTCTTGCATAGTCACACAGAACTGCATTCTCAGAAGAACCTCAGTTTGATACTGTTGTCATCTTGAATTTCTCAACCTTTAAATGAGGGGCTGTGTATTTATATTTTGCACTGGACCCTGGTATTGTAGACAGTCCTGCGTGCAGTGACTTGGCACTGTGTCCAGGAATGGGACCAAAGCGTTGGTTAGTCCGACACGGCTCACACTGTAGGAGCGTACAGGCTAGGAGGGAAGACGATGAAGTGTGAAGTGTTCTGTATTAGAAGTACCAGCCTAAGGAAACATGTAGGAGAAGAGTCTAACCAAACCTTGTAGGGCTAAGGAGTGAGATGATGAGCTTGGCCAGGAGGAGAGAGTCGTGAAACAAAGTCCTGGTCCTCGACACCAGAGGAGGACTGGAGAAGTCTGGGAGGGGTCCTGGGAGGTAGGAGGGAAACCAGGCGGAGGAGATCCCAGCAGCCAGGACTGGGAGAGACTGTCAGATGCTGACCTGAAGATCAGAATGGTAACATGTCCAGCAGGTGGAGCAACAAGGGGATCACCTGAGGATGCTAGTGACAGAAGATGAAAATGGACAGAAAGGCAAGAAATGAAGGGATGGGTGGGAAGTGAAGAAGTAGAGACTTGGATCAACATTGCTGTTAATTTATAAGTCCTGATTTAATTGGAAGGAAAAGAGGACAGTCCCTGAGGACAGGCTTTTGATGCAGAAAATATATTTGTGTTTGTCTTTGGTTTTACCTCATTTCATTTTAAATACAAAATGTGTTAAGTGTTTTTTGGTCCTATAGACAGAGATCCAGTGGAGAAAGAAGTTGGAAATAGTAGGCACTGGGAAGACTCTGGGGTGAGAAAGGATAGACAGACTAGCCCCAGTAAGGAGGAGAAGAGGGAAAGGTGGCTGAAGGAGTGGAATTTCCACGGGAAGACCCTCCACTCCATGCAGTCCAGTCCACCTCACTGTTGAAGTGAACATCTGTGCCTCTTAGTCTTGTTTTCCTCCTGTCTCAAGTTCAAGGAGCAGCTTTCTCCTAAGTTTTCTCATGTGCTCTTTTTTTTTATTCAGCAAATATTCAGAGGGCTTCTGCTATGCAACTGGCACTGTGCTAAGTATTTATAACCTATGTGAAGAAAACAGATCAGGTGCCTTGACCACGGACACTCTGGTAGGGACCCCAAGCCCTGGCAGCACTGCCAGCTCCTCCCAGTTGCCCCCCTACAGAATGGTGCCCTCCGTCCTCCCTGGGTCTCTGACATCCACCCTATATAGGGCTTTTCCTACCCTTCCGTCCTGTTATCTTCTCCTTCCTTCCAGGATGTCTTAACTTTCCTAGTCCACTTCTAGGAATCAGCAGAAATTTAGGATCCATGTAGCAAAAGAGGGGAAAAAAGTTCAAACTGGCTTTAAGCCAAATATTAAGAGAAGGCTGGCTTCAGATTGTATCACATAACAACTTTCAACTCAAGTGTCTCTGGACCTCAGGGCCCTGTCAGTACTTTCCAATTAGGCTGGTCACTAGATTTTCATGATACCTCATCCCCTTTAAATTCTCCAAGGTTCTCTGTCCTCCTTCAGAACCCTTCTTACCTTATGGTAGTTACCATACCTACTCTATTCTGCCAGATGAGAATTAGGACAAAGACCATGTGAATTAACTCACACTGATTTTTTGAATGATGGATATCACCCTTGGGAAGGGGGTATAGTTGTATTTTATAAGTGGTTGTGTGTTTTTAAAAAGGAATCTTTAATTTTTCACATTTTATGCTGCATAATAGAAGTGAATAAAAAAATATTACAGCTAATTCCCAGAATTAGCTTCCTTACATTTTTCTACTTTCTCACAGTTTCTACTTTTGGAACCATGACTCTCCAAAGATTCTAAGGTTTCTGCCTCTACCAGTTTCTATGATAGCAATTGGGACATAGGTAGTAGGGGGTCGAGGTCATGGCTCTGCTATTCATAGGAATTGTTTCCAAGTCAAGGACTGCCTCTCCAGTTGCAGGAGAGGGATGCCCAAGGGGGTTTTGGCAAAAAAAAAAAAAAAAAAATCTTCCCTAGTATAAGCAAGGCATACACCCAGAGTGGATGTGAGAACTGATTTCGATGTTTGTGGGCTTCAGAGAGAAGCATGTCAGGTCCCTGGCTTCCTGGTTCCAGAGAGCTGTTAGGTTGCTAGAAAATACAATTCCCCAAGCTACTTCCATTTGTCATAAGAATAGCAACCTTCTGCCACAACTGATCGAGCAATTGCTGGAAAGTGGCTGACAGGAACCACTTTGGAATCAGCTCTGAGAATGGGAGGCGCCACTGGGACTGGGCTCAAGAGAGGGTGCAAGTCTTCCCTTATCAGCAAGGCATACACCCAGAGTGGATGTGAGAACTGATTTCGATGTTTGTGGGCTTCAGAGAGAAGCATGTCAGGTCCCTGGCTTCCTGGTTCCAGAGAGCTGTTAGGTTGCTAGAAAATACAATTCCCCAAGCTACTTCCATTTGTCATAAGAATAGCAACCTTCTGCCACAACTGATCGAGCAATTGCTGGAAAGTGGCTGACAGGAACCACTTTGGAATCAGCTCTGAGAATGGGAGGCACCACTGGGACTGGGCTCAAGAGAGGGTGCTCCACAGATATCGATTCTGCAGCCTCTCTTGAAACATCGGCTTTAGGAACAGTGTTTCTCAGAAATCCATGAGTTGGCAAAAGCTCTTGGGTACATGTTTTGAAGTATGAGAATTTTCTGAGCCTTCAGATGAGGTGTGAGTGGATTTTTCTGCACCCAGGATATTATCCTAGAAACTCAAGAATCTAGGCCAGATGTTTTCAGGTTTTAATGTGCTTATAAATCGCCTGGGGTTCTTATTACAATGCAGGTTCTCGTGCAGTGAATCTAGGGTAGAACTGGAGATTCTGCATTTCTACCAATCTCCCAGGAGAAGCCAATGCTGTGGCCCCACTGACCCTTTGAGTAACAGGGGTCTGGAGTTTCCCGGTCCCCTACATTAAACACTAGCTACACGAGCCTACTTAGAATTAAATTAATTAAAATGAAGTAACATTTCTGCTGCGCTAACCATAATTCAAACGCTCCATAACTGTGTGGCTGGTGGCTGCCATCTTGAACTTCACAGATAACAACATTATTGTGATCATGCAGGTTTCTGTTGGGTAACCCTGAAAGGCAGTGAGCAGTTCATTTATTCATGCATTTATTCACTGAACATTTGTGGCGCAGAGTGGCACGCTTGGTACTGAGGCACTAAGGCAGTGGTTACAGCTGGCATAAAGAGTCATCAAGGTCACTGGAATGCCATACACATAGGACTGGGATGCCTCCAACATGGCGAGAGTGGGTAATCGTTCCGCTCTGCAGGTGGGAAATGGCATCTCCTGGCATTGTGTGTGTGATTGTGATGGAGCTGGTACTTACGACCCTGGCTGCTGACAATGCGTTTTCCGTTTCAGGGCCATCATCATTAGAAATGGAGAAATCATCCCCATGTCTTCAGAATTCACCCCTGAGACCGAGCGCCAGAGACTTCAGTACCTGGTAAGAGTCACGTAAGTTTGGCAGAGGGCAGTGGCATCGGGGACAGCCTTGGAGCTGGTTGGGAAGAACACATCGCCGTGACATGGGAGAGGCCCACCGCAGTCAAACAACATATGGTACTGACTCCCCCACACATACCTTCTGGATCACACACCCTGACTCCATGTGTGATGACACATGCCACCTCCGAGAATTTATTATTGTGGCTGATTTTCTCCCATCTGTGACCGATTGAAGACATAATGTGCTCTGTTTCTCGCAGTGCTTTGGTGTGCAGTGTGAAGTGCAGCTCTGCAGAGCGCAAGCACCTTCTTCCCTGGCCTGCCACTCATGCAGACTCATGCAGGGGCTCACTGGATCACGTTGTGAGGAGGAGGCTCTCCCCACTGGCGGCTCTGAGATCCCCGCTGACTCGCTATGACTTTATTCGCCAGATAAGAAGTCTTGGGGCCCTCTTGGGAAGGCACAGGTGTTAGGAAATCTGTTTCTAACCTGAAAATAAGTTCTCCATCTACATCACCTTCTCTAGGATGGAAACTGTAAGAATTCTGGAGGGCTTTGCTTCCCTCAGAAAGCTCAGTTTTCTGGGAAAGCAGAACAAACTCCCTTCCCTGCCTACAGATTGTAGGGGCAGGGAATTAGACTTCGGCTCTCAGTTAAAAGTGACTATGATGACTATCCCAAGTTATCCCGTGCTGCTCAAAAAGGACATTATTCGTGTCTGGGTTTCAGGACTTGTAAATCGCCATGAATGATTAGTTTCATTGACTTAGAAGGTAGCTGTGCACTTTTCCTCAGTTCCCTGCTTTGTGTGTTTGTACATTTCATAACTAAGCTCAGTCTTTGTCTCTAGTTACCTGATCTATAAGACAGCAGGAATTCCAAACCAGTGCAAAAACAATGTTTGTTTCACTCTTTTACCTACTGTTGTTTTCTACTTTTGTAGTGCTACCTTTGTGCAGATAAACTTGAAGCCTTATAGAGACAGACTGCAGACTGTAGAGCACCCTGTTTTCTTTGGTCGCCTAGGGAGGTGGGAAGGACACAGCAGCACCCAGAGAAGGTTTTCACTCTGGTCCCAGCCCTCTTGCTCCCTGACTTGATAGCTTTGTACAGGTCTCTTAAGCTTTCTGGACTCTGATTTATACTTGTGAACTGGAGAGTTAGACAAGATCACAAAGGTCATAGAGCTGCCTGGGTCCCTTCAAGTAGGGTTTATAACCAGTGGCCTCTCACCTGCTGGCTTTCTCCAGTCTGTCATCCAGGTGATCTGTAACAGAGCCTGGCACTCCCTGTCTAAATTCTTTGGCTGCCCATGACCTACAGAATGCAGGCCACACTTGGTGGCAGACTCACAGCCCTGCCCGCCTGGCAGTGCCGTCTCACTGTTGCCGCACCACCATCACCATGCACCCCATGCTTCAGCACATAACTGGCTTCCACTTCCAGCACATGTCACCATCTCTGACTTCCAGGCCTTTGGAAATAATGCTCTGCCTCCATGGCCTCTCCCTTCTTCTCTGCCCTCGAGATCCCAGCATAAATGGTACTTCTCTGGAAGTGTGCTGTGGTCCTCCAGTGTCTAGAGGCCGCAGTGCACCCCTCAGCATGTTGGTATTGTTTTTCTGGATCACAGGCTGCTCACCCCTCATCTTAGTTACCTCGTACCCATTGCTGTGGTTGGCGCAGAGGAGACTCGGAATCAGTACCTGCTGACCATGTGAGAAGAAGCTGTGCCAACACCCAGCAGGACCTGCCCTCTGACGTAGCACAGCAGAGCGAGGACCCCGTCTCCTGCCTGCACTGTATTCCACCTTCATCACCCTCTTCCCCTACTGAAACTCATTTCTTTTCCCTTGGGTGCCTGTTTTCCTACCAGAGTCAATGAATAATAACAGGTTATAGTTCTGTGCTTTTTATTTTGAAATAATTTCCTATTTTCATTTTACAAGAATGAACATGGGAGATTTTTAGGAAGGGATAGAAATACATAAATGATTCAGATTCCCGAATATCAGAAGTCTATTTTGCGATGGTCAGAATAAGAGTAGCTTTGGGCCTCAGCTTGGTCACAAAATTCTGTGTATAATTTCTACAAGACCCTTGGCTGCTCCTCATTCTTTAGTTAGTATGGGGGTAGAAAACTTCAAAGAGGAAGTCAGTGAAATAATATGTACAGAATTCTTTTATGGCACACAGTACTCATTTAGCTATTATTTGATGAATCAAAGTCTGGTTTCAAATTTTAGTTTGGGCTGGTTTTGTTTTTTTGTTTGTCTGTTTGTCGGGGTTGTTGAGAGAGGGAGGATCTTGCTGTGTAGTTCAGGATGGCCTCAAACTAAGAAATCCTCCTGCCTCGGCCTCCAAGTGCTGAGATTGTAGATGTGCACCACCATGCCCAGCTGTTTGGGCTGTTATAACAAAATTCCATGTACCAAGTGGTTTACCAGCAACAGAAATGTATTTCTCACAGGTCTGAGAAGTCCATGATAAAGGCCCCAACAGACATAGAGGCCATTGAGTGTCTGGTTCATACCAGCCATCTTTTCTAGGCAGCTTCATAGGGTAGAAGAGACAAGGATGCCCCCTGGAGTCTCTTTTCCAAGGCCACTAAATCTCATTCTTTAGGGCTCTACTTTAGAGACCTAATCATCTCCCAAGGCTTTGCTTCCCAGCATAATCACATTAGGAATTTGACTTCAACACATGAATGTTGAGGGTACACATCCAGTCTGTAGCAAAATCCTACTGGCCTCTCAGCCAGAGTAATATTGTTTCCTCTTTTTTACTTTAAGAAGCACTTCTTCTGTTGTTAGATTAATGTATATTTTGATGTCACTCTTAATCATTGTGGACACTATTAGCTGAAGAATGAGGCTAATGTTTGAATTTCCAGAAGATGAGAACACTGTGTATGTGTGTGTGTGTGTGTGTGTGTGTGTGTGTGTGTGTTTGGTACCGGGGATCGAACTTGGGCCCTTGCTGCTTGCGAGGCAGGCACCTTAACCACTGAGATAAATCCCCAGATATATATATTCTTTTTAATCCTTCCTACTAAATTAGATATGTTTCTCAAGTTTGTAACTAAAACTTTCCTCCCAGACAGAGGAGTGTAAATTTAACATAAACTTCCCTGGTTGGTTGGCCAACTTTGTATTCTTTCAGGGGTCTTGGAATGTATGTTTCAGAATGAACAAGTTAAGTAATAATAACCACATGATGTGACTGTTTGTAACAGTATATTTGAGAGAATTAAAATATTTATAGTATAAAAACTCACATTATAGTTTAAATCTAAAATGTCCCCCCAAAGTCTTAGGTTCAGGGGTAGGGTCTGGTTGGAAGCAGTGGTGTCTTAGTTATTTTCTCATTGCTGGAACAAAATACCTGACACCCCCAAGTTAAACGAAGAAAGGTTTATTTTAGCTTATAGTTTGTAGAAATCTCAAGCATAGTCAGTTGACTCCAAGACATGGTGGCATGGCAGAGGAGAAACAGCTCATGGTGTGGTAGGCAGGAGCCTTCCTTCTCTCCCTTTTTACTCTGTTTGGGCTGCAAGCTTATTGGCTGGTGACCCACACCCAGGATAGGTCTTCCCTCTTCAGTATTGGTTGGGTGTCACCCACGCCCAGAACTGTGCTAAACCAGTAAGTGGGTGAATCTGATATCACACACCCATGATGGAGCCACCTCCCAAAGATCCCACCTGTGAGCACATGAGGCTTTGAGGGAAATCCGGACATAACAGAAGGGCAACTGAAAGAATGACTTTGGAGGGTTTATTCTTGCGCTGGCTCCCCCTTTCCTCTGCTTTCTTGCCACCACAACATGAATAGCTTTTTCTCCACTGTGTCCCTCTACCACAGTGTTTCCGCCTTGAAGCCAGCTGACCATGGAATAAAACCATGAGCTAAAATAGACCTCTCATTTTCAAGTTGTGGACGTCAGGTATTTTGTCCGTAGTGGGACTGTCCCATCACCTGATGTCATATAATACCTGATGGATAGGATGCATAGACCACTGGTGGTTCAAGTTGGTGGGAACATGTTAAACATGCTCAGAACACTTACATTCGCCTACAATTGGGCAGAATCATCTTAAAGCCTATTTTATAACAAACTTTTGAATATTTCATATGATTTATTGCATACTATACTGAAAGAGAAGACCAGAATGGTTGGATAGATATGCTTTCACACTATTGTAAAAGCAAAACTTGTAAGTCACATCATCATAAGTCAAGGACCATCTGTCCCGTATACTATCTTAGGATTTTAAATCCTCTAACCCTACTAATGTTTTGAACATCTATTCCCTTGAACTAGTGGTAAACTTCTTAGTGTATTGATTGTTGTAGTAATATCCTTTTGGTTTATATAGTCCCAGCCGGTTTGTATATTTCTGGAAAATTTAGCAACATGTTCCTTATTCTTAGGTCAAATCAGCTTTTATCTTTATGATGTGTGAAGCGACACTTATGATGGACTCGTTAAAACTTCTAGGTCCCTAGTCACTTGCCTTGAGCAGATGTCTGCAGTCCCAAGGCTGCCTGACTTGCGGAGATGGTTGATGGTTTTGGGGGTGAGGGGTAGCTTGAGCCCTTTGTACGTGAACCATTTTGATCTGCATCTGAGAGGAGTGTTCTTGGTAAGCACAGTCTGGAGATTCGGGGATTACAGAACTGGAGGCAGATTACAAGATGATGGATGTGGCAGGCACATTAATTTTGTTTGGTCTTGCATCCTGACCTCCAAGGGCGCTTCATGTGGCTGTCTGGGTAATGTGAACTTTGTTTCATAGATTTGCAGGCAGGGTGATTAATCGCACAGGCTCTCTGGTTTGACAGGTTCACACAGAATGTGGCAGGTGTGTGATGAAGGGGTTCTGCACCAGGGAGAGCCGATGATCCTATAGGCATGAATAAGCCTTGCTCTTCTGTAGCTAGGTTTTTATTTTTTTCTTGTTTTTTTTTTCTGTTTCTAGAGTGATTGAAATAAAA